GAACATGCGGATCGCGATCAATCTCATTAGTTTTTCAACTTTTGGTAAGACGCCTTAGATGTCTAACTCTCAACACATAAGAGGAACAAATCCCATCTTGACTACATAAGCCTCTTGCATAGTTCACACCATACCTGAAAATGGATTTTATAACTGCCCATTTAAGGAACAACATTTGACCATATCAAGCATAGTACTCCCAACACTTAAGTCCCACTATGTATCTCAGGTGTTATGGATACAAAGATAGTACCTTTTAATCAATTATCATTCACGATAATGATCCATGAGATGATCTTGATGCGGGTCAGTTTAGTACTAGTTCTCAGACAAATACCTATGAAACTTGGTTACAACCACCTGCCTACTTTCATCTAGTGAGAGCCAACCAATCCAATTCATGTTAGTCTTACTTTATAATTTCTCCCATAATTATAACTGACTATGAAGTTTTAGAATAATAACATTATTCATGGATTAAAAATGTTAATATAGAACACAACAAGTATTAATGTGATGACTATATCCTAATATATCATAACATTATCCTAATACACCATGTAACCCATGATGTTACCCATTCCTTATGCTCCATGGGTTTTAACCTCCATGGAGTATCCATGGGTCACCACATGCGTTAAGCCCAACATAAGGAATCATGGATCATAAGCCCACATATATAAGAATGAATGATTTACACAATCAATCCCCATATATTTAATTAGTCTCTTTTGATCACTAAATTAAGTCCAAATTAAGTCTTGATCAATATAAATTAAATAACATTATCTCATATTAATATATTAGAGCTTATAATATATTAATATGTCACAAATGTATTCTTCTCGTAAACGGTTTATCCAAATGCTCCGATGCCATGCAACCCAAATGGACCATGACGAGTAGGGTCAAGTACATACCAATTATAGTTATGGACTTAGACACTAATCCAATAGTTTTGAGGGGTGTACGGTAACACATGGGTGTACGGACATACACTCCTTACGCTCTTGTAAAAGTGGTCAAAAGTGTGTCCCAAGTCTCTAACTTGCATCCCCTAAGTGTTCATTGTGACATCCCCAATTTCACGGCCAGAAAAGACCGATTTGTTTGTCCTTTGTTTTATAAAATCAAAGTAATCTTTTGATTAAAAGAGTTCTGGAATTTGTTCCCAAAATAAAATATGATAAAATTTATCAAAACATTTCTCAAAGAGAATGTATTTTCATTAAATAATAAAACCTTGGGATGTCACGTTCGATACAGACCAAAAGCATAAACAATATAAAATAAATCTTACAACAATTATTTATGACTACTGATCTATAATCCAAAATCTCTCGTCAAGTCCACCAACTTATACTCTTGTGCCATCACCTGTAATGTAAAGAAAACTGAGTGGGTCAGGCTTGGGAGCCTGGTAAGCATATAGGGTTTTCAACCCACAATAATATAATTATTATATGTAATCAGCAAACAATCAACCCAATTACCAATCCCCCTTATCTCCTTAAGGTTTTACCCTAAGAACCAACTATCCTTCATTCATTTACGCGTAAGGAATTTGGCACGAATTCCATTGCGGCCAAAGCTTATTTATCAAGTACTAAATCCATAGTTATCTGGCGCTAACTCCATAGTCACCAAGGTTCACTTAACAAGCGCTAACTCCATAGTCGCCAAGGCTTACTCAACAAGCGCTAACTCCATAGTCGCCAAGGCTTACTCAACAAGCGCTAACTCCATAGTCGCCAAGGTTTACTCAACGTGCGCTAACTCCATAGTCGCCAAGGTTTACTCAACGTGCACTAACCCCATAGTCGCCAAGGTTTATACAATAGGCGCTAACTCCATAGTCACCAACTATTCCATCTACCTATGTTCTACCCAACAATTTTGTAGACATAAATACTTACACAGTTTAAATCATTTAACACCTGTATAAAACTCCAATTTCCATGCCCATCTCAAATAGACAAATAACATATAAACACATAGCATGTATTTCATAGCAAATACGTCATATTTATGTGTTAGAAGAAAGTAACTACACACTCACACATATAAACAACAATAAACTTAATACACTCAAACCATACTTGTATTATTATCGTGTTTATGAAAGGTAGTATAGACTCACTTGATCAGAAGATGATCGGACAGCACTACGACTTGCAGAAGTAGTATTCTTCGGTAGATCTGGAAGATCTCCACAAAAATCGAACTTCTCACGGGCAGAGCTTCGGCTCGGGAACCGCACTTCTCGGGATCTTCAGGATCTCGGGACTTGCTTCGGGGCTCGAGAATAATACCGGGGCTTCGGGGTATTTCTGGAACGCAAATCGAGGCAAAACGGGAGAGAGAATAGAGAAAATGAACAAAAGAACCGGCTGCCCTCGCATCCTTTTTATAGGAGGCTGGAGCCTCGGAGTACGCGGGGCGTACGCATCCGAATTCGTCACTGCATGCGTCATCCGAAGAACTCGAGTGCGAAGGTCGTCATGCTTCGCTGTACGCGGGGCGTCCTTCGGATCGGACCACTGACTCCTCTTCGGATAATGCCGGGGTTTAATAATTAATTTTAATGTTTAATTATTTAATAAACTTCGGAAATTCATATCTCCTTCATACGAACTCCGTTTTCGACGTTCTTTATATCGACGCGAAGGTGAGACTATGCTCTACAACTTTCGTTTAGATTCCGTCGGCTAATTTTGAATTTTAAGTTTATCATTTATTTTTAATAGGTCGGGATAGAAAATCTCGTTATAAATTCATAACTTCTTCGTCCGACGTCCGTTCTTGCCTAACTTTTCGTCGTTTCGCTACTAACAACGAGATCTTCGATTCTCGTTTAGATCGCTAAGGCTAAATATCACTTTAACGTAAATTCACTTTTTACGTCATTCAACGTTGTGTTGTTTCTGTCGCGAAACTTTAACAAGTCGTAACTTCTTCGTTATAACTCGGATTTTGGCGTTCTTTATATGCACGTAAACCTTGTAACATATAATACAACTTAGTTAGGATTATTCATCCTAAATAATCTTCTATCAAAAAGTCATTTTTGATGCTTATTGTCTCTAAATTGACTAGCCCGAATCTACGAGCGTTACATCTTGATAGACCTGACAATTCGTGTATTCGTGTCATGAAAATATGCCAACCACGAATTTGACACGATACGATTACAAGATGAGAAATAAGATTTATCTTAATTTTTAAGATGTATTCGTGTCGTGTTGTGTCTCTCATAGATTTGTGTCTTCATGTCTGAAATTACCAAGTCTAGTTCTTGATTATGTGCTTAGCATAGAACATGAGTTTGAAGCCAAATAACACTAACCAAAGGGTTGTACGACCACATGGGGTGTGTACGGACTTACACTCCTTGATGATCATGTTCTGGACGATTTCTAAGGGTTAATCTAGTGGTCTTAACAAGATCTAAGCATTGGGAAAGAGTACTTACGATCTGGAGGTTTAAGAAGGCTCAAAATCACAAAGAACGAGTGTGTGTTCTTGTTGAGATTTGAAGATCTAGTTAAAAGATGATTTCCATTGGATGAAATCAAAGGGTGTTACTAGGTTAAGAGGAATAACAACAAATCAAAACGGAAGAAAGCTTATATTCTTGAAGATCGGGTGAAAGACTCGATGCTAGTTGATAGAGAAATCAATGTTCTTGACTTGGAAAATGAGGAAATGGCTTAGAAATGGAAGGATATCAACCTTAAGGAGGGGGTGTATGGCCAACATGCGTGTACGACCACACACACATGTGTGTATGGCCGCACACTCATGTGTACGGTCGTACACTCCCTCAAATGGAGTGTAGGGCTTGATTTTGGTGCTAGAAGTGTACGTGACCCAATCCTATACTCGAGGCTTGAATGTACTGAGCTTTGAACCTTTGAACGGACTCTAAACAAGGCTAAATATTAGCATAAACGAGTTTGACACTCAGTTGAGTTGACTGGCTGGGCTTTATAAGGCAAGAATTTTCGGGTTGTCACATGGTCTTATTCATAGGAGTGGAATCAACATGTCCATGGTCATCATGTACATTACCTTGCAAGTCAGCAATCTCGTTTTGAAAAGCTCCCAAGCTGTGCAACTCCTCATTATTCCCCCTACACCCGACTGCTTGTCTTCAGGACTGCAAACTTCAGCTTGGTCATCCACTATCCATTGATGGACATTAGAACCAAGATGATCTATGTAAACTTGGATTACACATCTGTTGTCGTATCCTACTTGAATGAACTCTTGGTAGTCTTTCTCGATGGCTATTATCCTCAATCCATCAGGAAAATCTATATCTGACATGCAAAAATACACATTCATATATTCCTCGTTCGCGAATCTTTGAATAAACAGTAGAAATTCTTTCAAGTCTATTCCTGCAAAATCGACGTCTTCAAAGCATTGCTCAGCTCCATCTGAGTAACTTATTGCGGGACTCCTAGTAAAAATGCCAGCAAAATGAAGATCGACCTTCATATACACAATCATAGCATCGATTTGGAGAGAAACAGTAGAAGAAGAAAGGGGAAGAAGATAGTGACGGGTGAATATATTATTTACAAAAGGGTTAAGTAAGTCAAAATGTCATTTATTGAAGCGGTAACGAAAATTTCGACGTGTCAATATTTTAAATGATGTGTTATGATACCTGCTGACTAGGATGAGGCTAACCGGCTGATCCCTTCGTTTTTTATAGAATGACTTCAAGAGTACGTAAAACTATACTTTGTAACCCTTAAATACTACAAAAAAAAAAAAAAAAAAAAAAAAAAAAAAAAAGATATTTAAACAAAATGATGAAATTTTGTAGGGTTACGGTGAGATTTATCTTATTTTTTACCACAAAAAAGTTAATAGCACTTTTTGAATAGAGCGGAAACTTTTTTGTCCGCCCCTTTTCTTTCTCACTAATCTTTCATTCCGGTTAGTGCGGGCACGAAATCGTCCATTTTGCTGAAATTTATAACGGAAAAATGGAAGTTGGAGAATATTGGAGGGACCATTTTTCTAATTTTGCGAATCAGTTGAGAAAAAACGCAGTCCTCGTAGGCGTTAAGCGGGATACTTTCAACCATATTTTCTGGACGACGAACGCAGGCTCATATTCATTAGTTCGCCGGAGGTCGGAAAACGAATCCCGGTACGGATATTGGACGAGATCCACAACGCAGCCATGGTTTTTGCGGCGAAGATCAAATCCATCGATTTTTTCAGGTCCCGATTTCCATATATTTATTTTAATTAATGGAAACAAAGTGTTTGCGTTATAGCTGCTACTGATTGTAGTTGACATGTTAAAATGTGTCATCTATTTGGCGATTAGTTGTGCTTACTGTGCGTTTCATACTTGTTTTTAATAATTTTATGCGTAGAAACACTGATGGCGACGGAGTGAATTGGTATTCTGTTTCTGATAATTGTGCTCACGCCTTGCATGTTTGTGATGTGCTTCAGCAGTATAAATGCTGAAAGTTGCTTAGACATTGTTTCTACCAATTAGTTTCTTCAACAAACCCATAGGCAGGTCAAGGATGTATGCATGTAACATGTTGATGTTTTATATGTATACTTTTTTCAAGAAGATGGAGTTATTTGGTGGTTATTCACTTTTAGAATGCTTTCTTGGATATGTTGATTAGCTAATATTAAATAACTCACAGTAAGGTTTTTGTTCTCTTACAAAGATTTATTTATTTATTTTTCCAATTTTCTATTTCATCAGGAAAATTCCAAGCGATTTGACAGAGGCATCACTTTCAGGTGCTGGGATATCCATTATGGCAGCTTTCTCTATGATGTTTCTATTTGGAATGGTAGGTAGCTTATCTCTTGCTACCTTTTTCCTTCTTATACTATTTCTTTCTATTTTGGTCACAGACTGTTTTTGCAGGAGCTACAGAATTATTTGACCATGAGTACTACAACTTCTGTCATAGTTGACCAAAGTTCTGACTCGGAGTTCTTACTCATTGGTTTTAATATGAGGTAAGCTCCATGAAATATGTGGTATGCTATACATAATTACTTACACATTTATTGAAATATTCCAATGCAGTTTTCCCGCTTTATCATGTGAGTTTGCGTCTCTGGATGTGAGTGATGTATTGGGAACGGTAAATTTCATCTTTTTAGTTGGTAGAAGCTTCTCTTATGATCCTATGTTTAATTTAAAGTAAATTGGGGATTGACTTTTATTTCTGTTATTTTCAGAACAGGTTGAATGTAAGTAAAACAATACGAAAGTATTCCATCAATAAGCATCTGCAAACCAAAGGCCCTGAATTTGACTCCACACCAGTTTCTACTGTAATTAAGCATGATGATAAGGTCCACCAGGAATACAGTGAAGGATCCGTGACACTAAATTCAAATAATTTTGATAAAATTACTCATCAGTAAGCGAAGTGAAGTCAAGAAATTAATCTCATTTTTGGGCAATATACTTATAACTTACAACAACAAAACATTTTTGTTTGGTCAAAGTGTAGGCATGCGATTTTGGCTGTAAATTTCTTTGCTCCCTGGTGCTATTGGAGTAGTCGTCTGGTATGCTTATTCTGTGACATTTAAAGATCGATAATATTCCAATTCTTCTTAGCATCTCTGTTTGATTATTCTCAGACACCCTCGTGGGAGAAAGCAGCTGATATTATAAGGGAAAGGTCTTAATTGTTGCATAAATTTCATCAATGATTCTCTGCTTCTTAGCTAATACCTACTAATTGCTCCCTTGTTTGCATTGCCAGACATAATCCAGAAACAGATGGGCGTATCATCCTGGGAAAGGTGGACTGCACTAAAGAATCTCAGCTTTGTAGAAGGTAACAACATAACAATTGACATTTTTACCCTCATAGGTTAAAAGTTAAAACATAATTGATCTCTCTCTACTGGTGATTTTCAGCCATCACATACAAGGTTATCCATCTATTCGCATCTTCCGTAAGGGAAGTGATACTCGGTAAATAAATAGCTTTAATTTATCTGTAAATCAATATTTTATCCCAATTCCCAAGCTCGCTCTTGATGCTCTCATTTTTTTTTTTTTTTTTTTTTTTTTTTTTTTTTTTTTTTTTGAATCAGGGATCCGAAAGGACACCACAATCATGAATCATATTATGGAGACAGGGATACAGATAGCTTGGTAAAGGTATGAAAATTAATGTTTAAATCTGAAGTATTTTTCATATTTAACAAGTTACTAATACTAGGCTGATGAAAATAATGAGGAACAGAATTCCAAATTTTGTATCCTATTGACACCAATGCTTTGTTCCCTCCTACAGGCAATGGAAAACCTGATTGAACCTATTGAATTGGAGTCCAAAAAATATGCCAAGGTTACTGTTGAAGCAAAAAGACCAGCACCACAAGCAGCAGGATGTAGGATTGAAGGATTTGTACGAGTTAAAAAGGTAATATATATTATATTATATATTCTAGTTTTGCAAAATTGATTGAAAAATTAATGTCATGTAATGTGTACTACGTACATTTACAGGTTCCGGGAAATATTATAATATCAGCCCGATCAGAATCCCACTCATTTGATGCTTCCCAAATGAACATGTCACACGTGATTTCTAGTTTTACTTTCGGTAAAAAGGTGACTCCAAAAATGATGAGTGATCTTAAGCGACTTCGACCTTACATTGAAAACCATGACAAGTTGGCTGGCAACTCATACATCAACACAGGCGACAAGGCAAATGTTACGGTATAAATATGTAGATATGCATTTAATTTTTTTTGTAATTATACCGTTTTAATTTATTAACTTTAATGCTGTGATAAATTAAAATTAGATAGAGCACTATCTTCAAGTTGTCAAGACTGAGATGATGAGTTCATCTCATCAGTTGATCGAGGATTACGAGTACACTGCTCATAGTAGTTTGGTTCATGCGCTTACAATCCCTGTTGCAAAGTTCCATTTTGAACCCTCACCTATGCAGGTTCAACATTTCAACCCCAATTAATTACAACTTTTCCTTTTCTTACGTCTGTTTAAGCTACTAATTTTTTTTTTTTTTTTTTTTTTTTTTTTTTTTTTTTTTTTTAAATCAGATCTTAATAACAGAAGTTCCGAAATCGTTTCCTCATTTCATTACCAACCTCTGTGCAATTATCGGCGGCATTTTCACGGTTCAGATGAATTTTGATATTTCACTATCTTCTTAATTTTCTTCCAGTTTGTACCTTGTGCATGCATAAATGTACTTGTTATTTGTGAGTGTGAATTGTGAAAGAAACTGATTATTGAGAGTTCAACTATGCATGCAGGAAGTACAAACTGAAAAATTAAAGCCTGCTGATTGGGAATGTGAAATTACTTTATTTTTTCTTTTCTTTTTCTTGTTTGCCGTTGTGTGTCATGTCAGGTTGCTGGGATATTGGATTCGCTTTTGCACAACACAATGAGATTGGTGAAAAAAATTGAACTGGGGAAAGACTTTTAGCCTTGATACAACTCATTCTCTTGACTTTGGAGGCTTTTCGTTTCTTCATATCTGTTTTATCGGGTCATCTTACTTACTTAAGAAGTATTTTTTGCGGGTAGATACATAAAACTTGTATTTGTCAAGAGAGAATATTGAAGGTGGTGAAAATTTATTTAAATAAATGAGAAGTTAAGTCTTTTGAAATTGACGACACATTGGAGAAATAGGACCAAATAAACAAGGGCAAATTTGTAAAAGGACATTACTTGATAGGGAATATTGGTTTCGTTTCTGTATTAAATCGAAAAGATACTCATATGTATATCAGTATATAACTTATCATATTAAGTCATCTCTTTTAAGGTCCATTAATTCAAAAAGGCTTCGCAGAAACCGTGAATACACCTTGTACAGATGTTAATTGTAAATATGAAACGACAATCTACTCAAAATGATAGTTCGCTTTAATTTAGTAAATGGGAACAACAAATGCCTATATATATTAATTCACACAAAACCACTATCTATTTATTTTCTCACGTGCAAACTTGTTTCATACTTAGGACACTCCAATACAATACCGAAAACCAAAAAATGAAATATAATCGAAAGAAAACCAAACTGTTCATGCAGATGATTAAATAAAGAAGCAAGCAAAAACTCCAACTAAGCAAAAGAAGATCAGGAAATTTGAAGATGCAACAAATGGAGATTCTGAGGTTGCTTTCTGGCTTCGATCTGCCATTACAACAATCGTCACTTTCTCATTCTTTTTGCAGTTTTCAGGTACACCACTGATAAAGTAGTGGGGCCCAGACCGTTCCAATGTGATCACAGTGTGGCCATCATTGTGTTTTTCAATGGGCGATGCGGTATTGCAATTGTTATAATCGGCTTGGCTCACTAACAGCAATGAGTCCTTACTACCATCGTAGTTGAACACTGCAAATGTCAAAAAGCTATTTTCGTTAATTCAATAAAAAGATAAAATATATTAATAAAAAGATTATGATAATTGAAAATGAAAAGCTTACAGATGGTGTCTCCGATTGAAAACCTAGCTCTCTCAGCCCATGTAGTATAGGGAGCAGACGCAATGCTCCAATCACCAGAGCTCCCAATCTTCAAATCATGTGCATCACCCTTTTGAATTGACACCAAGAGGCTTAAAAGTGCAACAAGGACAATGGCGGCCATTGGCGGCGTTGGCTGTGTAAGAACTAGAAACAAGGTGGAGGTGGAGGTGGAGGTGGTGGTGGTGGTGGTGAAATCAGGGGGGTTTGGTGAGTGTATTTGTAGGGGAATTGTGGGCATAAAAAAAGATGGATGTAGAGTGAAGCTTTTGGTTATTCTCCTCTTCCCTACACGTTTCTTGGGTGGCATACAAAGCATATTTGTATTATTAATGTTTTTGAAAATTTCTAATGTGAAAAACATGTAACTTGATGAAAGTGTTGAAATACTAGTTAAATATGTAGGAAGCAAATCTTAATTCGGATAACATAATACAAAAGTGGTATAAAGGACATGTTAATTGACAAGTAAAATGGTCCGATTTATAGCATGTTGATTGTTAAGAGTCCGTTCCACCGACCACACATTTCATATGTTTCTCTTTTAGTTAAATATGGCAAACATACACGTATTGGTGGATACCCGGGTACCCGTATCTAAGATAACTGGGGAAGAGGACAGAGACCGGGTATACCCAAAGTTAAAGACCGTAGATGGGGATAACCCTCGGTTCCTCGAACTCAAAATCAGCCTTGATGGTTATATCGATCAGATTTAAATACATTTTAGGCGATTTTTAGCTATTATTCTTTTTTTAATGAAATAATTTGATTTTTTCAGTAAAATGGTTTAGAATAAAGGATTGTAGATATTTAAATACATTTTAGGAGAATTTATGTTGTTATCCTTTTTTCTATTTAAGTTTTGTAAAAATACACCTTTAAGTTGATACCAAAAGAAGAATAAGGAATTTTAAAACCTTGTAATTCTTTAGTTGTAGGTGTTGGAAATTTAAATAAAAATTATGTATTTTTATTTTTAAATTTTGGACACATTTAAATATAAATATATATTGTATATTTTATTAATTCTTAATGACTTATGTTCTCCCTGTGAGAGCTTCAAAGCGATATATGTTTTGTCCAAAACAGAAAATATATGAATGAGATATTGATGCTAAAAATTGAGCATTTCAAAATAAAGTTAGCAAATAAAGTGAGAGTATGTCCCACATAAGAAAAAAAATACAAACTCTTATTGGCTTTATAAGCATAGATGTGTAATGAGTTTACAAGCTTCTATGCATAGTTTTACTTTAACACCTATGTGCATGCAGGGGGTACAACTTTGAAATTCTGTGTAACATCCATTAAATTCAAGCCAATTTAAAACTTTTTAAATCATTCAAAAACCAATAATTATTATAAACATGTTTTCAAAATGGTTTAATGTCAGAGTTTCTCATAATCAAATCATAAAAACATAAGGAGGTGCATGATCACGCCTTCGCCTTCCCGCAATCATCAGAAGCAGCTGAAACAAAATCAACAACTGTAAGCCCGAAACTTAGTGGATTCCCCCAAAATACCAACGTCATACAATCATAATCATATCATATAAAAACACAACATGCATAATGAGCCATCAGTTTGACTGGACCGCCTCGCAGGCCTTCAGTTTATCTGGACCGCTCTTTGAGCCTTCAGCACGTCTGGACCACCTCTCCGGGCCTTTAGCCTATTCAGGCTGCTTGCCGGGCTTCAGCCTGACTAATATGCCCTCACGGGTTTGTAGTATATCTGGTCCGCCCAGGGTATGTTGGCCTTCTGCACAAAGCAAGTCCGCCTCAACCCAACCCAATCAAACAATCATATGCACATAACTATCATATGTTAGTATGTATATAACAGTCAAACCGATCTAACAGATCACTAATCATAGCACATCCTATAACCAGGATACTAACCTAACCAGTCTCTAACACATAATTATCCCATATACCAGGATGCCGACCTAACCAGGTCACTAAGCATATCACCATCCTAACTACCAGGATTGTAACATCCTGTTTCGGATTGTCTGTAATTTATGGTTCGTGGGCTGCAACTCAGGCATGAGGAAGCCTCAAGGCTACGACGAGTACTAGAAGTGTAGGGTTTCTCTTCACCTTTCCATGGATATGAGGTTCATTAGAAATGGACATATAACGACGAAGTTACGACAACTTGATGTTTTGGCAGGATAAGTCCCTTATTTGAGAAAGGTGGCAGATGAGTACGTTGGGCGTACGTGTATGTATGCTTAGCGTACTCATGTGCGTGAAAATGAAGCAGAGTCACCTAGTACTTTGGGCGTACTAGGCACATGATGAAAACCCCAAATGAAGTGGTGTCCCTATATAAAGAATAAGATGGCCTCATTCCTGGCCACCATTTCCAGAAACTTAACCCTCTCAAACCCTAATTTCCATCCCTTGAGCTTGAGTATCAATTGTGAGCTTATAAGTGATCTTGTTGGATTTTTGGAGTGAAGAAGGAGCAAGAAAGAGAATGGAGTTGGATTCCAAGCTTTGGATCTGAGCTTTTTTGTGGTTGGAGCATCATTTGGAGCTATAAATCTCAAAGCTTTCCCATCCTTTTTTATTTGTGCATGATATGGTCCATTTTAGGGTTTTGCTCCCAAATCTTGAAGCTTTATGTGTTGTTGCACTCCAAAGCCTAATATCTGTCATTTTAAGTGTTTCTAGTGGAGAGGATCCGTAAAAATGAGGTCTTGGACGTAAGAACCACCTCATGCATGAGATATGAGCATCTTTGAGAGTAAAGAGTGAGAGTTTTTGTGTTGGGACTTTATCAGCCATGCAAAGACTTAAAGTCAGACTTTACAGAGTAAGAGCCTCTAGGGAGTCCAGATCTACGATATGAGCTAAGGTCTTAACAGGTTAAGACCTAGAGTGTGGGAAAAAGCCATACTAGATGTACGCTGAGCGTAATCCTAGTATGCCCCACATACTGGGTTGGTGTTGCATGCTTGTGTACGCTGAGCGTACCAAGGGAGGTACGCCTCGCGTAACCTCACTATGGGCCTTTTGGACTAAATCTAATAATGATACTTAAGGGTTCGGCCGGGATCTTTAGGCTTGTGTACTAAAGACTTTGAGTAGAGAAATATTATGCCTTGGGCCCTTGTGTTGGTCTTGTCACTTGGACTTGAGAGTTGGGCCTCAGGAGAGCCCATTCATTATTAGGCCTTAGTGGGCCCATTAAGTTTTAGGTTATTGATGGGCTAGTTAGTAGACTACTTTTAGACCTAAAGAGTGAGGATTTGGACTTAGATCTTAATTGAGTAATTGTGGATTTTGGTCCAGTGTTAGAGGCCGGTGTAACAGCAACATCTATAGGAGCTTTTCCTCATCCGAGATGAGTCTTCTCACTATACTTTACCTAGAGTGGTAACCTTTGTGTGACCGGAGGGTCTTATGTGTTTATATTGAGTATTGTGATATCCTTCATTATGTCTTTGTGATTTATGTTGTGTACTATTATAATCTTTCTAAGTTAGGACCAGAGGGTCCACCCAAGTTGTGGGGCCGGAGGGTCCCACTGAGACACACTGACCAGAGGGTCTTATCTAAGTATATCTATGAGAGGCTAATGATATATGTGTGGTATTTTGGGGAACTCACTAATCTTCGTGCTTACCGTGTTATGTGATATGTGTTTCAGGTTTTTCTCAGGATCGTGGGAAGGCCCCGACTTGATTGTACACACCAGAGAAAGAGTTATGTCTCGAGGATCCTGGATTATTACCTAAAAAATTATGGAGCTGTGTTTTGTAAATTAAATAAATGAGATTTTTTTTTTTGAAATGTGTTATGAGAGTTATGTGATTTAAAAATGAAAATTTTGTTTGAAAATTTACGGTGTTACAAGCTAGTATCAGAGCCTTGGTTTGAGGGATTCGGATGCACCTTCGGGTATGCCTGGACTCAAACTGAGGATTTCAGAAAAAATTTCAAAATAAATGATTTTTCTAAAATGAGCAAGAGTTTCTAATAGAAACACGAGAAGGATTAGTGTGTACAATCAGCCAGAGCACGAACGGTGATTTCCCAAAATACCCTTACTTATTTGTGTTATGAGTTATTATTTAGATATTAGTGATGCATGCTAGAAGATAGGGTCAGTATTTCATATTCTAGGGTTGGAATTGCCTGATTTGTGATGCCTTAGCCAAGGGATTATTGGTATCTATGATGTGCTTTGAGTATGTGCGGAGTAAGAGTATCCAGTAGGAATCTTTTAGAGAGGACTTTGAGTAGAGTAGTAATTAAGGAGAGATACCTAGATGAGCATTGGAGGAGACTATTGAGGGATTAGTTAGATACCCACAAGAGGTAGGGTTGCTTGAGTTTGGTGATACATTTTTAGTGTGAGTAGAGAAAGTGGAGTTGTAACTTAGAGTGGTTTTACGTGTTGGTGGAGATTATTCGATGCCTGAATGATGCATGCTATGTTCTTTGTGGAACTCTTCATGATGGGAGTTAGCTACTAAGTGAATATGACGATATTCAGGAGGTAGATGGATGGCATCATAAGGAGTTCTTCAGCGACTGATGGTAGAGAAATGTGAGAACCTAGTAAGAGCCTAGGGAGTGACTTTAGTCAGAAGAGTATGCTGATAGAAGAGAGTATTCACTAGGTAGCGACCAGGTATATCAGGATTGGTGATCGAGAAGGTTCAGCAGTTACTTAGGAGATCTGGGACGATCCGTTTGGAAAGTATGGGTAGATGTGACAGGTACTAGAGGCACGTACTTCTGAAAGCAGAGGACTCATACTCGAATAAGGGAGAATTCAGAAGGTTCTATGTAGCAGATTGGGAGGTGATAACATGGTTTGAGTACGATGATTCGTAGAAGATTGAGAGGTGATCAAATGGTTTGAGTACCATGATTCATAGCGGTTAGTGCTTCTGTTTTTACCAGTTATCCCATTGTGATTGATTAGACTGAGATCAGAGTTGATAGAGTGTAGGGCCAGAGGGCCATGTCGAGTGAGTTTCAATGGACCATACCTTGAGAGCGAGATCAAGTTAGTTTCCGAGAGATTTTATTGGTCAAATGCCAGCTGGAGTCGCAAGACTGAGGGATGAGTACAGATGCTGCTTATTTGTAACACCCGGTTCCTGGTAAGTATTTAAATTCAAGTAATGTTATGATTTACTCTAGGACTCGGCGAGTTGGAGGCCCAGCTCGTTGAGTAGACTCGACATTACGCGGGGATTTTTAGTGATCTACTCGATGAGTTGGGAGACCGACTCGGCGAGTAGGAGTTGTCTGGACCAAACCTTAATGTTTGGGGTTTGTACCCTATTTA